AAATTTTAACTTGTTATAATTATTCAATTATGAAAATCTATATATTCTGAAAGGTTTATGTAACGTATCATAACTTAAAAAAAATAAATTATAAATAAAAAATAAAATAATAACGTTAGGGTTTATATTATTTATACAATAATTTAAAATAATTAATAGGATTACGGGAATGAACCTTTTAAAAGAACAATGAAAAAATCAAAGAAATAACTGGAAAGTAAACAATTTAACATCCTATACGCAACTCTCTTGTAGATCGGAATCTGAATCTTAATTTTTCTTGATCTGAAATGATTAATGAAAGAGTGAGTTACATTATCCCAATAAGAATGTTATACAAAAATGAAGGTTGGTAAAAATTATAAAAATAACTAATAGAGCTCTTAATTTAAGTAAATTAATTTATCATAAATAAAATCATTTATTGTACACTTACCGTAACGAAATTTTCAAAACTGACTTATGAAGGCGATAACACAACGATATCATGATCTCATATTCAATTAATCAAAATAACAACTTTCTCTTTTAATCAGCCTATTAGTATTTATGAGGGTGTATATGGATATCCATGCTATAAGTGAACCCTTATTCAATATTTTCAATTAACTGGTCATCCCTATACCCTGTCCAGTATTAGCGCTGAAAATACCATCCTTCAATACCCCGTTCGACATGAGAGTCAAACGAATCATCCACATACTCCATCCAGTATGAGCGCCAAAACACTAATTCTCGATATCTCATCAAGTATGAGGCAACGTTTACGGTAAGGGTCCCTATGTACCTGATCCGTCCACCATCTCCTATGATATCCAGTAAGATTACCATTCATTAATTCAGTTAATCAAGTAATTTTTCGTTTACATTTAATTGTTCAATTTTTTAATTTAACTGTAAACCATATAAAATAAGCAATACATGTATCAAGGGACACAAACGAATCATCATACTAATTCTAATATATTTTCATACATTCGAAATTGTAAAATCATTCAATCAGTTAAAATAAGATAAACAATGATAAATAACCAATTCTGCCTCCATTAGTAACATGTAATTAATTATCAAAATTTTTTAAATTACACAAAATATTATATTATTTATAATTAAATTTCAATTCCATAATAGGTAATAAAGTGATGGATTCTTACTTGAATCGATATCCAAAACGTTAAGCTTTCAGCTACATTGACTGGCGGTCTCCAGGTTCTTTGAATTTTCTTTCGGGGATTAAAATACGTTCTAAATATTAAGAAATACCCCAAAAATTCAAAATCAGTGTTAGAAACATTTTTCAGTCAATTTTGAGATTCTGGCACGGCGCCACTGCCTACGGCAGTGGTTTGCCCCGAGCTGGCCGTTTTCGGTCAGTTTCGGTCGGTTTTGTATTCATTTCTGTAAAAAAACATATTAAGAGGTTTCGATTGGTTGAAAAAAGTAAAAAAAAATAGAGGCTTACCGGGGGTGAAGTTTTCCGGTGCGGTGGCTCTGGCGACTCATCTTCACGGTTGGGCATTTTTCTTCGGTCAACCTGTGGGAAACAAAGTGGTAAATACAATGGTGAAAAAATTACATGAAATAAGAATCGGAAAGAGCCTCATCGGATGTGATTTTTTATTTTTTCCGTGGCGGTGCCACCAGTCTTTACCCGCAGTTTCTAGCTCATCTGCCAATTCTTTTGCTCTGATTTGGCCATGGAGGTGTTCAAAATCGAATTTCGAGCAAATAAAATTTTTTTTACCTCTTTTGGCGGTCAGAGGTGGCTCCAGCATGATGGCAGGCGACAGTCGGCTCCCTTCCCAACGACTAGTTCTTCTTCTCCAGCGGGAAGAGGGGGGAGGGCTGGTGGCTAGAGTTATAGTTTGATATGAAGTGAAATATTTATATCCGTCTCCTTTTAATCTATACTGTTTATCGCGTTTGATTTGAACCGTCCGATCGTATTTAAATAGAAAATAAATATGAACAGTTCATCGCGATTTGATCTGGACGGTATGATCGCGTTTAAAGAGAGAATGAATTTGAACTGTTTATCGCGTTTAATCGCGATCATCCGATCGCGTCTGAGGAGTGAATAAATCTGGATCGTCCACGCGCGCGAAAACAAATCTTGACCGTTTGATTGTGTGGAAAATTTTTGTTTTCAATTTCATTATACACATATTTTTCTTAATTTTTTATATTAAATAAAAATTTATATAATTAAAAAATTAAATTTTATACATTAATTTTAACTTTTTTAAAAATTAATTTAGGATATTGGAGCTTATTTCACTCAATACGAACTAAACTAAACTTATTGAAACTAGAACTTATAATTAATAATAGATATTGTAATTTGGGATATTTATATATTGTAACTCGGAATATATTATATACTTTTATTCACTTATTTATTTTTTATGTGAAATAATTGTATTTTAATATATTTTTTTAATATATTAAAATAATATTAGAAACAAAAAAAATTATTGAATCCTCATCAATTGGATTTATAGAGAAATAATAAAAATGGTTTAAAGGTGGATATAATTGAATTGGTATTTATATATAAATTGTGATATATTTGTCACATCATTATTTTTATAATAATGGTCTATATTATAAATTATAGTAAATATTAAGAGGGTATTTGATATTTTTACTCAAATAATTAAGGAATGATTTTAATTAAATTTTAAAACTAATTATATACTTTTAATTTTAATTAAAAAAAATTTAAATTGAAATTCTTAACTTTAATATAATTTTTCATCAATATGTAAAAATTCTCTGAAAATGGTAAGAAAAATGGGGCATGAAAATTTCAGGGATGATGATATAATGCTGATAAGAGGAGAGCTATTCAGAGCAATAACAAGAACAACTCACAATTTTAAGACCACAAAAACCAGTCTAACCCAAAATACACAAACAAGTAATCTCCATTTATTCAAAGAGTTTCTAGTCACCGAGTTTACTGCCAAAAACCGGTAAGGCAGCATGTGATCCGCGGGCTTTTCAACTGATTCTAATATTTCTGGAAATGATTCTTCAACCTTGGAGACCGATGACTCCTGCAGAGAAAGATAATGGTGATTAGCATTCCCACATTCGCAAAAATATTGAATAATTCAGGCTGGACGTCTTGTTAAAGGATGAGAATCGATCCAAAACCAGGTGTATATCGGTATCATGGCAAAGATCAAATGAAACTGAATATGTAGCTGATACGTTGCAGGAGAATCAATTTCTAATCAGTTTAAAATTTTTCGAAGTTAATGAAGGTTTTTCTTCTTTCATATAATGAGAAATGTTAATAGACTAGAAAAATCCACGGGAGTGGTTAACTTAATGATACGAACAATTCGTGATCAGACATATGATAAAGGTTATGCTAGATTATTGCTTATGATTGCTTATAATCAAGTAAAATAGAGGATCCCGACATATTTCAAACTATATTTCAGATTAAGGTTATAATTCGAAGAAATGAATTTTTGGTTTCAGCTAGAAATCCATATTTATTGTAACTATAAAATGATGAAGAATGAAACTTTTTTTCCGAAATGATAAAATTTTGAGTTTCTACAGGAAACGAAGTGGAAATAAGGGATCCCATGACTTTTTGATGGAATTTTAAATGAACTGACTCGAGTTCACTACAAATTGCCTAGTAACTAACTTATTCTTGTTTTATATTGTGATAGATCTCCGTCATCTCATCCTCGTCGTTAAATAACTGTAAATTTCTTAATGAATTTCACGAAGTTCATTTGTCCCAAACATAGTCTGATCAAAATTTAAGCAAGAAAAAATAAGTCTACTAACCACAAGCAACTCTGCCCCCAGCATTTCCAGTAGTCTTACTGAGCTCATGTCCCCCTGGATGCGGAAAAGAAAACAATATCAAAACACATAAATGATACGAAGGAAGAATATATTTTCGGGTCTCTGTCAATGATCAACCATAAAATTGGTCAAGCAATCACCCTACATGCACACAGATATATCTTAACATGGGAAGCAAAGTATAGAACAGCTTACAATGAGGATGTCAATATATATATATATATACTTAAGGTGGATTACCTTTGCCAAGATCATCAGGATCAGCGTGGACAACAACAGCCCTTCCAACAATGGAGTTTGGTCCAGTAAGAGGAATCTACAAGTATAGACAAATGCTTTAGAAGAAACTAGTGTTATGTGGTGGCATCGCAAGCCAAATAAGGATGGACAGAACATAAAGAAGAAACCAAAAGGAGATGAGATGAACCTGACTGTCGATAATTGAGAAGCTAACTTTGCCTGAACCAGAAATAAAAGTGTTAATAGCAAAATTATTAAACACCATTATACAAATAAAGAAAATATGATATTTTACAATGCAAAATATGATACTACTAATCAAGGCCTTTATCATCATTTTAGAATGAGTAAATGATCAAATTGCCGA